ATCTCCCTGACGATGCGGTATCTCCCCTTGACGGCGCGGTATCTCCCCCTGGCGGCGCGATACCTCCCTGACGGCGCGGTGTCTCCCTGACGGTGCGGTATCTCCCTGACAGCGCGAAATCTCCCCCTAATAGCGCGGTATCTCCCTGACGGTGTGGTATCTCCCAGACAGCGTGATATCTCCATGAAGACATGATATCTCCCTAACGCCGCGGTATTGCCCTGACGCCACGGTATCTCCTCTTAACGGCGCGCTCTCTCTCTGATGGCGCGGTATCTCCCCCTAAAGGCGCGGTATCTCACTGACGGCGCGGAATCTCCCCCTGATGGTGCGGTATCTCCCTGACGGTGCGGTATCTCCCCCTAATGGCGCAGTATCTCCCTGACGGCGCGGTATCTCTCTGACGGCACGGTATCGCCCAGACAGCGTGATATCTCCATGAAGACATGATATCTCCCTGACGCCGCGGTATCGCCCTGACGCCACGGTATCGCCTCTTAACGGCGCGCTCTCTCTCTGATGGCGCGGTATCTCCCCCTAACAGCGCGGTATCTCCCTGACGGCACAATTTCTCCCTGACGGCGCAGTATCTCCCTGACGCCGTGATATCAACATGACGGCATGATATCTCCCTGACGCTGCGGTATCGCCCTGACAGTGCGGTATCTCCCACTAACGGCACAGTATCTCTCTGATGCTGCGGTATTTCCCTGACAGCGTGATATCTCCTTGAAGACATGATATCTCCCTGACGCCGCGGTATCGCCCTGACGCGCCGTATCTCCTCTTAATGGCGCGGTTTCTCTCTGATGGTGCGGTATCTCCTCCTAACGGCGCTGTATCTCCCTGACGGCACGGTATCTCCACCTAACAGCGCGGTATCTCCCTGACGGCGCAATTTCTCCCTGTATCTGCGGTATTTCCCTTAAGGCGCTGTATCTCCCTGACGGCGCAGTATCTCCCGGACAGCGTGATATCTCCATGACGGCATGATATCTCCCTGAAGCCGCAGTATCGCCCTGATGGCGCGGTATCGCCTCTTAAAGTTGCGCTATCTCCCTGACGCCGCAATATCTCCCTGAGGGCGCCGTTTTTCCCCCTAATGGCGCGGTATCTCCCTGGCGGTGCGGTATCTCCCCCTAACGGCGCTGTATCTCCCTGATGGCACGGTATCTTCCCCTAATGGTGAGGTATGTCCCTGACGATGCGCTATCTCTCTGATGGCGCGGTATCTCCCTGACAGCGTGATATCTCCATGACGGCATGATATCTCCCTGACGCTGCGGTATCGCCCTGATGCGCCGTCTCTCCTCTTAACGGCGTGGTTTCTCTCTGATGGTGCGGTATCTCCTCCTAACGGCGCTGTATCTCCCTGACGGCGTAATTTCTCCCTGAGTCTGCGGTATTTCCCTTAAAGCGCGGTATCTCCCTGACAGTGACGTCCATGACTGCGCGGTATCTCCTTGACGGCATAGAGTCTCCCTGACGGCGTGATATCGCCCTGAAGGCACAGTATCTCCCTGTCGGCGCAGTGTCTCCCTGACGGTGCAGTATCTCACCCTAACTGCGCGGTATCTCCCTGACGGCGTGATATCTTCCTGACGGCGCGGTAATTCCCTTCCAGCGCTGTATCTCCCTGACGGCGCAGTATCTCCCTGACAGTGACGTCCATGATGGCATAGTATCTCCCTGACGGCGTGATATCTCCATGACGGCATGATATCTCCCTGAAGCCGCGGTATCGCCCTGATGGCGCGGTATCGCCTCTTAACGTGGCGCTATCTCTCTGATGGCGCAGTATCTCTCCCTAATGGCGCGGTATCTCACTGACGGCGCGGTATCTCCCCCTAACAGTGTGGTATCTCCCTGACGGCGCAATTTCTCCCTGACGGCACAGTATCTCCCTGACAGTGACGTCCATGATGGCATAGTATCTCCCTGACGGCGTGCTATCGCCCTGATGCCGCGGTATTGCCCTGACGGTGCGGTATCTCCCCCTGACGGCGGGGTATCTCCCTGACGGCGGGGTATCTCCCCCTAATGGAGTGGTATCTCCCTGACGGTGCGGTATCTCCCCCTAACGGCGCGATATCTCCCCCTAACGGCGCGATATCTCTCTGACTGCGCAGTATCTCCCTGACAGCGTGATATCTCCATGACGGCATGATATCTCCCTGACGCTGCGGTATCGCCCTGACGCCTCCGAATCTCCTCTTAATGGCGCGGTTTCTCTCTGATGGCGCGGTATCTCCTCCTAACGGTGCGGTATCTCCCTGATGGCATAGTATCTCCCCCTAACAGCGCGGTATCTCCCTGACAGTGACATCCATGACGGCATAGTATCTGCCTGATGGCGTGCTATCGCCCTGATTCCGCAGTATCGCCCTGACGGCGCGGTATCGCCCCCTGACGGCGCGGTATCTCCCCCTAATGGCGCGGTATCTCCCTGACGGTGCGGTATCTTCCCCTAATGGCCCGGTATCTCCCTGACGGTGTGGTATCTCCCCCTAACGGCGCGATATCTCCCTGACGGCGCGGTATCTCCCTAACAGTGACGTCCTTCACAGCGCGGTATCTCCTTGACGCCGTGGTATCTCCCTAACGGCGGGATATCTCCCTGATGCATGATATCTCCCTGACGGCGTGATAACTCCCTGACGGCGTGATATATCACTGACGCCGTGATATCTCCCTGACGGTGTGATATCTCCCTGATTGCATGATATCTCCCTGACAGCGTGGTATAACAACAGAAAACAATGCAGTAAACAAAAACACTCCCTAGACAACACGCATGTACGCACACACACACAGTCTGTGTACAGTGAGGAGTGCAGTACCTGGGTTCTGTAGTTTTCTCAGAGGACTCCGCTGTGTTCTGTTGGTCGGACTGCGAGAGGGAGGCTGCATGGTATCTGAGCGCAGACAACCAGTCTATCTCTGGCTCTGTCTGTTCTGTGGTAGGACCAGTAACTGACATCTCTTTCTGTTCTGTGGTTGGACCAGTAACTGACATCTCTTTCTGTTCTGTGGTTGGACCAGTAACTGACATCTCTTTCTGTTCTGTGGTAGGACCAGTAACTGACATCTCTTTCTGTTCTGTGGTAGGACCAGTAACTGACATCTCTGTCTGTTCTGTGGTTGGACCAGTAACTGACATCTCTGTCTGTGGTTCTGTGGTAGGACCAGTAACTGACATCTCTGTCTTTTCTGTGGTAGAACCAGTAACTGACATCTCCGTCTGTTCTGTGGTACGGCCAGTAATTGACATCTCTGTTTGTGGTTCTGTGGTAGGACCAGTAACTGATATCGCTGTCTGTTCTGTGGCAGGACCAGTCTGTTCTGTGGTAGGACCAGTAACTGACATCTCTGTCTGTTCTGTGGTAGGACTAGTCTGTTCTGTGGTAGGACCAGTAACTGACATCTCTGTCTGTTCTGTGGTAGGACTAGTCTGTTCTGTGGTAGGACCAGTCTGTTCTGTGGTAGGACCAGTCTGTTCTGTGGTAGGACCAGTATGTTCTGTGGTAGGACCAGTATGTTCTGTGGTAGGACTAGTCTGTTTTGTGGCAGGACCAGTATGTTCTGTGGTAGGACCAGTCTGATCTGTGGTAGGACCAGTATGTTCTGTGGTAGGACCAGTCTGTTCTGTGGTAGGACTAGTCTGTTTTGTGGCAGGACCAGTATGTTCTGTGGTAGGACCAGTCTGTTCTGTGGTAGGACCAGTCTGTTCTGTGGTAGGACTAGTCTGTTCTGTGGTAGGACCAGTCTGTTCTGTGGTAGGACCAGTATGTTCTGTGGTAGGACCAGTCTGTTCTGTGGTAGGACCAGTCTGTTCTGTGGTAGGACCAGTCTGTTCTGTTAAGAGCTTGTGTTTTTCCTCCTTCTCTTTCTTCTGCTTTTGTTTCCTCTCTTCCTGTTTCCTCTCTTCCTGGTACCTCTCTTCCTGTTTCCTCTCTTCCTGTTTCCTCTCTTCCTGTTTCCTCTCTTCTATCCTTTTTGCTAATGCTCTAGTCCTCTTCTCGTCCTTCCTGTTCAAGGCCTCAGTATCCTCCTCTGTGGCTTCTCTCTCTGAGTCAGCTAGTTGTGCTGCTGTGGGGCTTTCTGTGGCTGTGGTTGTTGTTGTTGTTGTTGTTGCTGTGCTGGAGGCCTTCTGGACCACATGAGGCTCAGGATCAGGATCGACATTGAGCCCAGGACTTTCTTGAGTTCCACTAATGTTGCTGGTTTCGACCGTGTCATGAGCTGAACATGGCTCCACTGCCTTCCATTCTGTATCCTGTACAGAGGCTTTGATCTTGACCTGAACAGGGTGAGTGTCAGCCATTATCACAGGAGTGTCCGTGACCTGGTCTGGGGTCAGTTTGACAGGGACAGTTTCTCTGGCCTGGTGGTCTGAGCTGACTCTGCCCTGTGAACATGACGTCGACGAGACGGGACATTCCAGCGGTGGGGTTTCATCTGGGTGTGAATCCGTTCCGACAGGGGCTGCAGTGTTCTCTGTGGCCTCTGTTTTGCTGTGTTGATCTTGAAGAGCTGATGTCAAAACGTCAGTTCTCTGACCCTTAACCCCCACACTCTCCTCATCCTTCACCGACAGACCCTTTGACTCGAGCTCTGAACTGTCTGAATCAGACGGGATGTTGACTTCTCCTGGACCAGTGCTTTGGTTTTTATCTGTCTCCAGTCTTTTTTCACTATCATAAGGGACTTTTACTACAGTCCCTGTGTTGTTGTCTCTCTCAACATCCCCACTACCCCAGTCTAAAAAGAAACGATTGTGACTATGAGAAGGCATATTGACTCCTTCATGACCATGGTTCACACTGTGAAAAGGTATACTGACTCCATAGCCCCCTACAGTAGAAGTAATCTTCCCCTCTCTCTCCCTTATGTATGGACCTCTCTCTCCGTGGATGACATCATAGTTGCAGTCACCTGACTCGCTGTTCTCTTCCTGACCACCCAGGGTCCTCTCTGCTCCCTGTGTTACCCCCGGCAACAATGTTGAGGCTGTGAGGGACTCAGTGCGCTTGTTGTTGTCTGAGTCTCCTCCTCCATCACTTCTAACTAAACGACCACATGATAGGTCCTCTGAGGCGGTACTGGATCCTGTCTTCTCCTGCTGCTGTTCTTGTTCCTGTTGCCGAGCAAAACGTTTCGGAAGAATCTCTGATTCTGATTGGCTGAGAGCTGCATTTTCAGTCGAATCGGGTACAAAGGGGTCTCTAGTCTCTGCGCAGGGCTCCAGTGTCTTCACTGTTGCTGGCACCGGCAGCGTGGGGTAGAGACTTTGTTCTAACACAGAGGGAGAGGACAAATAGTCTCCACTGGAACAAAACCCATCCTCAGACGAGCCAAAAGGAGCCAGGCTGGGGCCAGATGAGGCCTTCTCCTCTCCTTCACCTGTTCTGACACTCTTCTCCTTTCTTCCTGTTTGCTCCACAGCCTTGACTGTTTCTGCACTCCCTGCGTTGTCTCTCTCCACATCACCACCATGCCAGTCTAAAAAGAAACGGTTATGTGAAGGCATATTGGCTCCAATGTCTGTTAAACCACTCTTCTCATCTCTCTCCTCGTGGAGAGCCACTATTTGTGATTCTTTCAGTGTCAGTGTCTGTGTCTGCTGCTGTTCCAAATGCTGATATCCGGTCTCTCTGATTTCCTGTCCTGCTTTCCTATCAGTCCCATTACTCTGCTGTTGTGTCTGATTCCATTTTCCTTTCTGCTTGTCATCCTCCTCCATTTCCTGTCGTTTGTCCACTCTTTGTTTTTCTTCCTGCCTTTTTTCCTCTTGAGAGAGATTCCTCTCTGTTTCCTTCTCCTCTGTTTCCTTCTCTGTTTCCTTCTCTGTTTCCTTCTCTGTTTCCTTCTCCTCATGTTGTGTCCTCTCTTCCTTCCTTTTCACTGTCCTCTTCTTTTCTTCCTGTTTGTCCTCTGTGTTTACATCGAGAGGCTGGCTGCTGATTGGCTGCTCAGCACTGAGTGGTGGGCTGACATTGATGATGTCATCTTTAATGGACGAACCCACACTGATGACCTCATCATTAATGGATGCAGCGCTACTGAATAGATTAACCCTGAGAGGCTCTTCTATCTTGGCCTCAGGTCCAAAGTGAAATACATGTAGAGAAATGGTGTTATCAGATCCAGATGTTGATACTGTGGCCTGAGGCTGAGATGGTGATTTAAAGATGGGGACTTTTTCTGGAAGCTTCTCACTAACCTCCTCTTTAACCTTTTCAGCCAGCGATCCTTTGTCACCACTGTTGCCAGTCTCATGCGCTTCCTCTTCCTCCCTGTGTCTCAGATAATCTCTGTACTCTGAATCCAGTATTACAGATGCTGCCTGTGTCACTTCCTCTATCACATGATCAGGGAGTGGTGTCATTTCCCCTGTCACGTGATCAGGAAGTGTGATGCAGTCATGATGACTGCCGCCATGACAGTCCCCGGGTCCAGGAAGTAAAATGTCACAGTCACTGATGAAGTCATAGTGACTCAGCATGGGACCTGGGTGCTTCAGTATCACTATTGGCTCAACACTATCGGATTGATCCCTCAGTGTAGGAGAGCACAGGTCAAAGACTGTTACCTCTGGAATACTGGCCCCAGTCACTGTCTTAACTTCAGCCTCAGCTCCAGCCACTGTCGTTGCCTCAACTTCAGCCTTAGCCAAATCCAAAGAAGGGAAGTCTGTTCTCTGAGGCCCCTCTCTACCCTTCATAGGATCTGAAGGGGATTGGTTAGGGACAGTCATCTCTGGAACACGAAGCCCAGTCTCTACCGCAACTTCGGCCCCAGCCCCAGCCTCAATTCTGGCCCCAGCCCCAGCCTCAATTCTGGCCCCAGCCCCAGCCTCAATTCTGGCCCCAGCTCCAGCCTCAGCCATAGCGTTAGCCACAGAGGGAGGGGCTCTAGAACACTGTGGAGTCTGTGGAGGCCTCTCTCTGTCCTCCATAAGATCTGTGACAGGAAGGTCATGGTGAATTGATTGGTCTAATTGGCTTGTGGGCTGATCAGCCTGAATGGTGGGCTGGTCCTCATCCGGCTTTGTCTGCAGCGCCGTAGTGACTACTGTGGTGGTGGTGGTCAAGGTCACATCTCCAGGGGAGTTTGATCTTGATCCACCGTCTGGCTGGGCATAGAGGGAACCTACACTGGGCACTGCACACAGGCACTGGGCACTGCACACAGGTCCAGCACAGGTGGACGCATCCTCAAAGAAAAACTGGAAAACGGACTCACTGGATGTGGTGGTGAGGTACTTCTGAGCAGGGGATGGTGTGAGGGACGAAGAAGAAGGAGGAAGTTTGATATCCACCTGTTTCGAGTCTGGGACTGGGTCTGGGTCGAGGGCAGGTTCAACTGGAGCAGAGTCCTGACGGCTGTTATTATTGTCTTCAGCTACTAATCCTCCACAATCTCCCTGAACCCCTTTCCTAACTAACATTTTTCCTCTATCCTGTCCATACTTATCTTCTCCAACTTCCTTTCCTCCTCTTCTTTCCTCCCTCCTTCTCTCCTCCCTCCTTCTCTCCTCCCTCCTTCTCTCCTCCCTCCTTCTCTCCTCCCTCCTTCTCTCCTCCCTCCTTCTCTCCTTCCTCTGACCCCTTCCCAGCCTCTGACCCCTTCCCAGCCTCTTTAACATCTCTTCCTGCCAGGGACTTCTGCTGAGGCTCCCCCTGGAGGTCAAGGGGGTTCAGTGTTGGAAGAGCATCCCCAGCCAGAGCTGCTTGTGGTGGGCTTACGGCTGGTGGTGGTGGTGGGGTCTCTGGCTTCCTGGAGCTGAGGAAGTCATGGGAGGTGAAGCTGGCTTCAGTCACTGGGTGGCGAAGGTTCTCGTGCACCTTCAGCGGAGGCAGGGAGGCACGGTCCAGTCCAGCAGCTGGTTGGGAGACAGAGACATCACGGAGGCCCGTTGAGGAGCTGTCATCTGCTTTCACCGCGTCGTTGAAAAATAGTTTCCTGCCGCCCCTTACATTGTCTCTCAGAGCTAGCTGGAAAACCCCAACGCCAGCCATAGTGGGGCCTTCCACTACACCACTACCACTGCCTTGAGGCTGAGGCTGAGGCTGAGGCTGAGGCTGAGGATGAGGCTGTACTGACCTGAGGAGTGTAGCTTCACTCTCAGAAACCTTAGCCTCTGTTCTGGTTCCGGTGTGGTCGATATGGACCTGTTGATTGTAGCTCCCCAATGTGGCCGAGCTCTGCTGTAACTGAAAGACCAGCGGAGGCTGAGGTGAGAATAAAGAGAAGGCTTCGCCGGGATCCTCCGCTGTCTCTCTCCCCGTCTCTGTGTCTGTGGCTGAGATGGAGGCTTCTCTTAGTTCTCCTAGGACGGGTCCTAAACTTCCTTGTTTCCGTTCTGGATCCTCCTTTCTCTCCTGCCTCTGTTTGAGACAAGCCCTCTCCTCAGTCTCCGTGCCTCCCTTTGTGTTGCTGCTGGAGCCCTGCGACTGTGGCTCAGAGTGCTCTTTAAGACCTAGGACAGGACCTGTGGGCACTCCTCCTCCTTTCTCCTCTGGTTCTGGACTCAGGCTCTGTTTGAAATGAGACGACACCTCTGTCTCTGTACCTCTGTTCTCTTCTGACTCAAGACTCTGTTTGAGACAAAGTCCGTCGTCTGCTGACTCCTTGGTCTCTGTGCCTCTTTTGTGTTGTCCCTGTCCCGGGACTCCTCGTGCTCAGCAGAGAGAAAGGGAGGGAGGAGAGATGAGAGGAGAGCTGAATCTCTGTTTTCTGGCTGCCGGAAGGGCTGAGAGATAGAGAGACTGCCTTGTTCTTGCTCACCGGAGGTGCTTAGCTGAGAGTGAAGGAGAGATGAGAGAGCTGAATCTCTGTTGTCCTGTTGCTGTATTGGTGGAGTGAGAGAGAGACAGACCTGATCAGCAGAGATGATGTTGCTGCTGCTGCCGGCGGATGCAGAAGAGGTAGAGGAGGGTATGATGAGCTCACCCCCCCAGCAGCACTGCGACGGTAGCAATGAGTCGAAAGGAACAGGAACGTCAGCGGTGGTAACGTCAGGGGGCGGGCACGTCTCACTCCCAGCTGATGACACCCTGCTAGCTGTGGACCCCCCCGCTGTCGGATGGCTCAATGAAACCTGCTCTCTGGCAGCAGCTATTCCTCCTCCTCCTCCTCCTCCTCCTCCTCCTCCTCTCCCTCCTACTCCTCCTCCTCCCCCCTCCTCCTCCTCCTCCCCTCCCTCCTCTCTCTCCTCTCTGTTCTCCCCCCTCCTTTCCTCCTCCTCCTCCTCCCCCTCCTCCTCTCTCTCCTTTCTGTTCTCCCCCCTCCTTTCCTCCTCCTCCTCTTTCTCCCTCCTCTCCCTCCTCTCCCTCCTTTCCCCCACTCTCTAATCCGGTGACAGTAGCAGCGTCGTTGTCTTCCTGGCAGTGACGTCCTGTGATTACCCCGAGGGGAGAAGGAGAGGTATCAGTGACGTTGTGGTCTTCTGTCCGGTGTCCAGACTCCTTCTCTATCTGTCCCTTCTTCTCTCTCTCCGTGGCTGGAGAGAGTGTGTTCGTCCCTGGGGTGCCGCTGGCAGGCTTCCCCCCTCCCTCCACTCCCTTCTCTTCACTCTCCAGTGAGTTGTGAGGCACAGTGTTATTGCTGCAGTCCTGGTCAGACGCAGATCCAGCCCTTGTCTCTGTCTCTGTGTCCTTAACAGGGAGTGCAGGTGAGCCTTTTATCCCAGTGTAGATTAATGAGACCTGGGTGTGTCTGGACGTCGGGAGGAAGATGGCTGTTTCTCTGTGTCCCTCTGCTCCTGCAGAGCATTTCAACAGACTCTCCTGTATTCCCCCTAAACCTCTTCCTCTGTCTCCTAGTGCCACAGACTCTGTTTCTACCGCCGGAGTAGAAACTGTTGCTGCTCTGTCTCTCTCCAGCGAATCGAGCTGCCTGTTTTTCCCCTCTCCCTCACATTCTATCGTTTCTGGCATCGTGGGTGTTGTCATGGGCAACGCGTTGCCGACGGCAGTAGTGGCCACTACAGAAGGCTCTTCAAGGGCACTCTTCTCCCTCACCTCCTCCTCCCTCGCTTCCTTTCCTATACAGGCTCGGTTCTGAATCTCAGAGCGTGTGTTACTCTGGTCCAGTGAGCGTGTGTTACTCTGGTCCAGTGAGCGTGTGTTACTCTGGTCCAGTGAGCGTGTGTTATCTCCACACTTCACAGGGAATACATGTTCCTCTTGTGTTTTTATGTCTGATCTCTGATCAGAAACACGGGCAGAGATTGTGCTGCCATTACTACCCATATCAATAACTGTGGTCTGCGCTGATCTATTCCTGTCATTCTCATTAACCCCTCCTGTTGCGTTGCGGTTCAGGTCTGGGGTTTCAAGACCTTGAGTCAGAGAGAAGGGGCCACCTGTCTGGTGGTGGTCTGCAGAGTGCTGAGGCTCCTGGGGTCGGGTTGGGGCCAGACTGGGGGCAGGTGAACCAGCCTGGACGGTGAGATGATCCTTCTGCCCATTCTGAGAGCCTGGGGCTGGGGGGCTGGAGCTGGGTTGGGCCTGGGACTGGGGCATGGCCTGGGTAAGGGCCAGGCTGAGGGCAGGTGAACCAAGGGCCAGGCTGGTGGTAAGATGATCCCCACAGCCTGTGGATGAGGGGCTGGAGCTGGTCTGTCCCCTGGGGCTCAGCTGTTCCTGGTAACCTGAACTCTTGCCCTGTGGTTCTCTGTTTGTCCCTGTCTGGATGTCTGACTGTGTCTGTGACTCTGACTCTGACTCTCGGTTTAACTGTGTCTCTGACTTTGGGTTTAACAGTGTCTCTAACTCTGGTTTAACTGTGTATCTGACTCTGGGTTTGACTGTGTCTGTGACCCTGACTCTGGCTTTGATGTGTTGTGTCTTGCTCTGACTCAGGCTTTGCCTTTCTGTGACCCCGCTGTTTGACTCGTCTGTTTCTGTGACCTGACGTGTTGCTGGTCTGTACTCGACTCTGACTCTCTGGCTTTGATGTCCTGTGTGTGGCTCTGACTCTGTCTCTGCTTGTGTGTCCCTGTGACTCTGACTGACTCTGGCTTTGACTGTGACTGTGACCCTGATCTGCTTTGACTGTCTGACGTGCCTGACCTGGCTTGACGTGTCTGTGACTCGATAGCTTGATGTGTTGCGACTGATCGGTGACGTGTCTTGACTTGATTGGCTTTCTGTGTCGTGACTTGACTCTGGCTTGACTGTGTCGGACTCTGACCTGGCTTGACTGGCTTGGACTCGCTTGACGGTCTACCTGCTGGCTTGCTGTCTGTGACCTGATGGCTTGACTGGTCTGGACTCTGACTCTGACTCTGGCTTGACTGTGTTGTGACTCTGACTTGATGGTCTGTTCTGTGACTTGACTCTGGCTTTGACTGGTCGTACTCTGACTCTGCTTGCGTTTGACTGTGTCTGTGACTCTGATTCTGTTTGGCTGTGCCTGTGTCTGGACTCTGCTTTGACTGTGTCTGTATCTGTGATCTGACTCTGGCTTTGACTGTGTCTGTGGCTTGACTCTGACTTGGCTTTGCTGTGCCTGTGTCTGTGACTTGACTCTGGTTTGACTGTGTCTGTGACTCTGACTCTGGCTTTTGACTTTGTCTGTGACTCTGACTCTGGCTTTGACTGTGTCTGTGACTCTGACTTGACTGTGATCTGTGACTCTGATCTGGCTTGCTGTGTCTGTGACTCTGACTCTGGCTTTGACTGTGTCTGTGAGTCTGACTCTGGCTTGACGTGTCTGTGACTCTGGCTTTGACTGGTCTGTTGTGGCTGTGTCTGTGACTCTGACTCTGGCTTTGACTGTGTCTGATCTGTGTCTGCTGACTCTGGCTTGACTTGTCTGTGCTGTGATCTGACTCTGGCTTTGACTGTGTCTGTGACTCTGACTCTGGCTTTGACTGTGTCTGTGACTCTGCTGCTTTGACTGGTCTGTGACTGTTGTTTGACTGTGGACTCTGACTCTGGCTTGACTGTGTCTGTGACTCTGACTCTGTGTACTCTGCTTGTTGACTGTGTCTGTGACTCTGACTCTGGCTTTGACTGTGTCTGTGACTCTGACTCTGGCTTGACTGTGTCTGTGACTCTGACTCTGGCTTTGACTGTGTCTGTGATCGTTTTCTGGATACTCTGGCTTTGACTGTGTCTGTGACTCTGACTCTGCTTGGCTTTGACTGTCTGTCACTGGTTCTGTGGACTCTGGCTTTGACTGTGTCTGTATCTGTGACTCTGACTCTGGCTTTGACTGTGCTGTGACTCTGACTTCTGTTGACTTTCCTCTGACTGGTTTGCTGTCTGTGACTCTGACTCTGGCTTTGACTGTGTCTGTGACTCTGACTCTGGCTTTGACTGTGTCTGATTGCTTGATGTCTGTGACTCTGACTCTGGCTTTGACTGTTGTCTGTGATCTGTGACTCTGATGGCTTGCTGTGCTGTTCTGACTTTGACTTTGTGCTGTTGACTTGTCTGTGACTCTGGTTTGACTCTGACTTGGTTGCTGTGTCTGACTCTGGCTTGACTTGTCTGTGACTTGACTCTGGTTGACTGTGTGCTGATCTGGTTGCTGTGTCTGTGACTCTGACTCTGGCTTTGACTTTGTCTGTGACTGTGACTCTGACTCTGGCTTTGACTGTGTCTGTGAATCTGACTCTGGCTTTGATTGTGTCTGTGTCTGTGACTCTGACTCTGGCTTTGATTGTGTCTGTGTCTGTGACTCTGACTCTGGCTTTGACTGTGTCTGTGACTCGACCTGTATCTGTGACTCTGACTCTGGCTTTGACTGTGTCTGTGACTCTGACTCTGGTTGACGTGTCTGTGACTCTGACTTCTGGCTGTGTTGAGTTGACTGTGTCTGTCGTGACTCTGACTCTGGCTTTGACTGTGTCTGTGACTCTGACTTGCTGTGCTGGTCTGTGACTTTGCTGGCTTGACTGTGTCTGTTGGGACTCTGACTTGTTGACTTTGTCTGTACTGTGACTCTGACTCTGGCTTTGATCTGGCTGTGCTGTGGCTGTGACTCTGACTCTGGCTTTGATTTGTGTCTGTGTTGTGACTCTGACTCTGGCTTTGACTGTGTCTGTGACTCTGACTCTGGCATTGACTGTGTGTGTGACTCTGACTCTGGCTTTGACTGTGTCTGTGACTCTGACTCTGGCTTTGACTGTGTCTGTGACTCTGGCTTTGACTGTGTCTGTGACTCTGACTCTGGCTTTGACTGTGTCTGTATCTGTGACTCTGACTCTGGCTTTGACTTTGTCTGTGACTGTGATTCTGACTCTGGCTTTGACTGTGTCTGTGACTCTGACTCTGGCTTTGACTGTGTCTGTGACTCTGGCTTTGACTGTGTCGGTGTCTGTGACTCTGACTCTGGCTTTGACTTTGTCTGTGACTGTGACTCTGGCTTTGACTGTGTCTGTGACTCTGACTCTGGCTTTGACTGTGTCTGTGACTCTGACTCTGGATTTGACTGTGTCTGTGACTCTGACTCTGGCTTTGACTGTGTCTGTGACTCTGACTCTGGCATTGACTGTGTCTGTGACTCTGACTCTGGCTTTGACTGTGTCTGTGTCTGTGACTCTGACTTTGGCTTTGACTTTGTCTGTGACTCTGATTCTGGCTTTGACTGTGTCTGTGACTCTGACTCTGGTTTTGACTGTGTCTGTGACTCTGGCTTTGACTGTGTCAGTGTCTGTGACTGTGACTCTGACTCTGGCTTTGACTGTGTCTGTGAATCTGACTCTGGCATTGACTGTGTCTGTGACTTTGACTCTGACTCTGGCTTTGACTGTGACTCTGACTCTGACTCTGGCTTTGACTGTGTCTGTGACTCTGACTCTGGCTTTGCCTGTGTCTGTGATTCTGACTCTGGCTTTGACTGTGTCTGTGACTCTGACTCTGACTCTGTCTTTGACTGTGTCTGTGTCTGTGTCTGTGGCTCTGACTCTGGCATTGACTGCGTCTGTGACTCTGACTCTGGCTTTGACCGTGTCTGTGTCTTTAACTCTGACTCTGGCTTTGACTGTGTCTGTGACTCTGACTTAGGCATTGACTGTGTCTGTGACTCTGACTCTGGCTTTGACTGTGTATGTGACTCTGACTCTGGCTTTGACTGTGTCTGTGACTGTGACTCTGACTCTGGCTTTGACTGTGTCTGTGACTCTGACTCTGGCTTTGACTGCATCTGTGACTCTGACTCTGGCTTTGACTGCATCTGTGACTCTGACTCAGGCTTTGTCTGTGACTGTGACTCTGACTCTGGCTTTGACTGTTTCTGTGACTCTGACTCTGGCATTGACTGCATCTTTGACTCTGACTCTGGCTTTGACTGTGTCTGTGACTCTGACTTAGTTATTGACTGTATCTGTGTCTGTGTCTGTGAGTCTAACTCTGGCTTTGCCTGTGTCTGTGACTCTGACTCTGGCTTTGACTGTGTCTGTGACTCTGGCTTTGACTGTGACTGTGACTCTGACTCTGGCTTTGACTTTGTCCGAGACTCTGACTCTGGCTTTGTCTGTGACTGTGACTCTGACTCTGGCTTTGACTGTGTCTGCGACTCTGACTCTGGCTTTGTCTGTGACTGCAACTCTGACTCTGGCTTTGACTGTGTCTGTGACGCTGACTTAGTTATTGACCGTGTCTGTGTCTGTGACTCTGGCTTTGACTCTGTCTGTGTCTGTGACTCTGGCTTTGATTGTGTCTGTGACTCTGACTCTGGCTTTGACTGTGACTGTGTCTGTGACTCTGAGACTTTGCCTCTTTTCTTCTTCCTCCTCTTTTTCTGTGAGTTTGTATTTTTCTCCATGTCTAGCGTGATATCATTCTGTAGGTTTGAATTTGTCTCTAGCGCTGACTTTGTCTGTTGCGTTAATACTGTATGTAGCGTTGACTCTGTCTCCTTTGACTCAGCCTCCTTTGACTCAGTCTCCTTTGACTCAGTCTCCTTTGACTCAGTCTCTTTTGACTCTGTCTCCTTTGACTCTGTCTCCTTTGACTCAGTCTCCTTTGACTCCGCCTGCGTTGACTCCGTCTCCTTTGACTCCGCCTGCGTTGACTCTGTCTCCTTTGACTCCGCCTGCGTTGACTCTGTCTCCTTTGACTCCGCCTGCGTTGACTCCGTCTCCTTTGACTCCGCCTGCGTTGACTCCGTCTCCTTTGACTCCGCCTGCGTTGACTCTGTCTCCTTTGACTCTGTCTGCTTTGACTGTGCCTGTGAGTCTGCCTCAGTCTCTTCGTGGGTATTTTGTCCTGTCAGTTGGTCTGTTTTAGACCCTACTACTAAGCCTAGCGGTGGCTCTCCCTCTGTCTCGGCCAGCTCTCTCTGCCCCACAGACTCCGGACTCACCGGGGTCTCTTTAAATAAATCTGCATCTGTTGTCGAGTCTAATGGCATCTGAGTGTCTATTTCCTTCAGTGCATCCGCCTTTTTCTTTGAGTCAATCTCTGCCTCTGCCTCTCTGGCCATTCTCTCAAACAGTTGTAATGTGCTCTCTTCCTGTTTGGCCCCTCTCTCTGCTCCCTCTTCAACTGGTTTCTTATTATTCCCCAGAAGGTAACTTCTGAAACCAAACCCTTCGTGATAGGCTGTAACCCTCTGACCTGTTGACGTGTCACTGTTTCCATGCTGTGTTTCCTTGTTGCCATTTTCACCATCGTCGTCGTCGTCCTTGTTGTTGCCGTGGTATCCTGGCTGGATCACAAGTAGGGGAGGTGGTGGCCGTATCCGTGGCGATGGAGAAGATGACTGGGTGTCCTTGGGAACAGTAACAGTCACTCCTCTTCCTCTAGCCCTTCTCTCCTCTTCATCTGTCAATCCTCCTCCTCCTCCTCCTCCTCCTCCCGTACCTCTTCTTCCTTCCTCTTCCTCATAGTGGACTGAGTATTTGGGCAGAAGGCCCACAGGTGGGCATTGACCACTGGTCTCAGAGACATGGAGTTCCGGTATGCTCAGAGAGGCCATTTGTTCCTCGTATTCCTGGAAGGCCTCGAGTAGCTCTTGCTCCAACAGCATGGCAGGGGACGGGGGTGTGAGAGGTGGAGCACCCTGCATGGGTGTGCCAGTAGACTTGGCCGGGGACAGGGGTAGGGAAGATAGTGCTGGGAGGGGTGGACACAGGAGCGGGGCACCTTCCACGGGCGGGGCAATCGGCAGGGCCGGGACCCTCTCTAGGGACAGAGCTGGAGTCAGGGGCAGAAGGGGTGGGGACAGGGCACCCTCCATGGGCGTGGCATTAGGCTTGGGGGAAGGAGGGGTACGAATGTCTGTGGGAATTAGGTCAGCATGGCCGGGATGCCTGAGGTCCAGGGTGGGGAGGGGTGTGGGGACCAGCCGGGCAGGAGGGTGGGCAGGGAGACAGAGTTAGTCACTGGGAAATGGTCGTCAAAACAGCTGTCGATTCCACGATGCTATAGAAAACGCATAGCACATGCCGGGCAGGGGCAAGTCCCAACTCCATGCACTGGTACTGCGCTGCACACTGCACACAGGCACTGCACTGCAATCTGCACACTGCACACAGGTACTGCACTGCAATCTGCACACTGCACACAGGTACTGCACTGCAATCTGCACACAGCACACAGGCACTGCACTGCAATCTGCACACTTCACACATGCACTGCACTGCAATCTGCACACAACACACAGGTACTGCACTGCAATCTGCACACTGCCCACTGCAGCCTGTACACAACACTGCAATATAATCTGTACATTGTACAGAGCACTGCATTCAGAAATGTTCTAGGTTGAGTAGTCAGACTGCATAAAAATAAGAGCATTCATTTAACAAACAGAGACGCATAACTCAGTCAAAACAATGGTTCAGAGTACACAAGCTGACAAGGAACGTACTGGTATCTTAAAGACAATGGCCGCGTCCCAAAATGCACCCTATTCCCTACATAGTGCACTACTTTGGTCCCTCTGTGCGCTAGTTAGGGAATAGGGTGCAATTTGGGATGCAGTCATTGGTTCTTTTCTCATAAATCAAAGAACAGGAAACAGTGGTCACTCATAAAAGAAAGGTGATGTCATTATTTTCCTCTACGGCGGTCACTTAGTATTCAGAAAACACGTCAAGTCCTCCATCTTCTACCCTCATTAAAGCCAGTGGGTGGGCAGGAGAGGACAGGAAGCCGTAATAAACCTCTTCATTGGTTTTCTGAATGGCCGAATCAATGCTGCTGAGTCACTGCAGCCAGGGTCTCTGGGCACTGGGAAGTACGTACGTCCCAAACGTCTGACTGTTCCCTATACAGTGCGCTACTTTTGACCAGAGCCCATGAGGCTTTATATAGGGAATAGGGCTTTATATTTTCTGATGGACTAGGCAGTAGACACTGGGCAGAAGCTACCGGAATCATGAACACACACTGTAATAATGTCAACTTAACTAATTGTTTAAATCGGCGTTATTCTGTGAGTTGGGTAGACTTCAGGACAAGAAGTTGAGCTGACGTGTGAACGTTTGTTCACTCAACAAACTTTGCTCACCGTGAGCTGATGTGTTTTCCTTTGGAAGGCAACGCTGTGTGTTGGGTCAGCTATATGCCCAAATGTTGAGCAAACTCACAATCCTATCGCAGCTTTGTTGTCGTCTTACAATTGTACGTTGAATCAACAAACTGAATTTGAAGAAGCTTGTTGAGTAAAATGACAAATGTACAGTATGTTTGCTCAAAACCACTGAAAACCACACCCATCATTACCATATTTCCCAGCATGCTCTATTGCAGGTTGATTTTCTGAAATATTTGTTTCAATACATGTGTTTTTGCATGTACATTGATTGGTTGATTAATTTTATGCTACACAAAACATAAATAAAACTAATCCAATCTGTTATTAGTTGGACTTTTTGCACCTGTTACTGAGACGGCTGTTCCAGTTTATATAATTTAGGTAGTCTCAATAATCAATCTTACCTACCCTGGCAGTCATTCTCAGTGCAGATTTCGGGTCATTAAAAGTTCCAATTGTTGGATATTACTGATGTGAAGTTTCGGCTCTTTTTACTAACTCAGATCTTTTCGTCTCGTTCAGTCAAAAGAACAAATCTTTCTACTCATTTTTCTTCATTTGAGTCAGTAATGACCACGCAGGACCCCGTACCGGCGAACGATGAACTGAAAACTCATGATTCTACACCCTCTCGTTCCCATATAGTTCACCATAGCGGGCTTATTGGAGCTGTAATTTGTGACTGAGACGTGTGCTTTAAACAATGTCAATGTTTTGATTGCTAGGCATACAAATACTGTTATTTCTTGATACATTTGCAACGAGGTCTAGCTGTGGCCGCAACCAGACTAGATTTTGAACGACTCTTGGCGGAATGTGTTGCTTGACTGCAGTGACGGTGATTGGCACAATGTCGTTCGCGAACTGAACGAACCAAACGACTCCCGATGGAGGCTGTGTATGTTTTGGTTCTCCAAAGCTGTGTCCATCATAACATTCAATAATACATTAATTGCATTCGTTCTTACACCATGAGATCAATGATCAGTTCTAAACATGTATTTTTCTTCTCTATGCTCATGGTCTATTTCCCTTCGTGCATATGACAGTTGGTGGTCGAGCACGTCTCTGGAGTCCCTGAGCCAGAGGACCATGTATTAATCCTGCTGTAGGACTCATGGTGGCCAGCACTAGCAGGTCAAACGAAAGACTAAAATGAACGAGTCACCCACCCTGGCTGACTATCCCCACTCTGGCTGACTATCCCCACTCTGGCTGACTATCCCCACTCTGGCTGACTTTCCCCACCCTGGCTGGCTGACTATCCCCACTCTGGCTGACTATCTGCACTGGCTGACTATCTGCACTCTGGCTGACTATCCCCACTCTGGCTGACTATCCCCACTCTGGCTGACTATCCCCACCCTGGCTGACTATCTCCACTCTGGCTGACTATCCCCACCCTGGCTGACTATCCCCACTCTGGCTGACTATCCCCACTCTGGCTGACTATCCCCACCCTGGCTGACTATCTCCACTCTGGCTGACTATCCCCACCCTGGCTGACTATCTCCACTCTGGCTGACTATCCCCACTCTGGCTGACTATCTCCACTCTGGCTGACTATCCCCACCCTGGCTGGCTGACTATCTGCACTGGCTGACTATCCCCACTCTGGCTGACTATCCCCACCCTGGCTGACTATCCCCACTCTGGCTGACTATCTCCACTCTGGCTGACTATCCCCACTCTGGCTGACTATCCCCACTCTGGCTGACTATCCCCACCCTGGCTGACTATCTCCACTCTGGCTGACTATCCCCACCCTGGCTGACTATCCCCACTCTGGCTGACTATCCCCACTCTGGCTGACTATCCCCACCCTGGCTGACTATCCCCACCCTGGCTGACTATCCCCACCCTGGCTGACTATCCCCACTCTGGCTGACTATCCCCACCCTGGCTGACTATCCCCACCCTGGCTGACTATCCCCACCCTGGCTGGCTGACTATCCCCACTCTGGCTGACTTTCCCCACCCTGGCTGGCTGACTATCCCCACACTGGCTGACTATCCCCACCCTGGCTGACTATCCCCACTCTGGCTGACTATCCCCACCCTGGCTGACTATCCCCACACTGGCTGACTATCCCCACCCTGGCTGGCTGACTATCCCCACTCTGGCTGACTATCCCCACCCTGGCTGACTATCTGCACTGGCTGACTATCTCCACTCTGGCTGACTATCTCCACTCTGGCTGACTATCCCCACCCTGGCTGACTATTCCCACCCTGGCTGACTATCCCCACCCTGGCTGACTATCCCCACCCTGGCTGACTATCCCCACCCTGGCTGACTATCCCCACTCTGGCTGACTATCCCCACCCTGGCTGACTATCCCCACTCTGGCTGACTATCCCCACCCTGGCTGACTATCCCCACACTGGCTGACTATCCCCACCCTGGCTGACTATCCCCACCCTGGCTGGCTGACTATCCCCACTCTGGCTGACTATCCCCACCCTGGCTGACTATCTGCACTGGCTGACTATCTCCACTCTGGCTGACTATCTCCACTCTGGCTGACTATCCCCACCCTGGCTGACTATACCCACCCTGGCTGACTATCCCCACCCTGGCTGACTATCCCCACTCTGGCTGACTATCCCCACCCTGGCTGACTATCCCCACCCTGGCTGACTATCCCCACTCTGGCTGACTATCCCCACCCTGGCTGACTATCCCCACCCTGGCTGACTATCCCCACTCTGGCTGACTATCCCCACCCTGGCTGACTGACTATCCCCACTCTGGCTGACTATCCCCACCCTGGCTGACTATCCCCACCCTGGCTGACTATCCCCACTCTGGCTGACTATCCCCACCCTGGCTGACTATCCCCACCCTGGCTGACTATCCCCACCCTGGCTGACTATCCCCACTCTGGCTGACTATCCCCACTCTGGCTGACTATCCCCACCCTGGCTGACTATCCCCACCCTGGCTGACTATCCCCACTCTGGCTGACTATCCCCACCCTGGCTGACTGACTATCCCCACTCTGGCTGACTATCCCCACTCTGGCTGGCTGACTATCCCCACCCTGGCTGACTATCCCCACTCTGGCTGACTATCCCCACTCTGGCTGACTATCCCCACTCTGGCTGACTATCCCCACTCTGGCTGACTATCCCCACTCTGGCTGACTATCCCCACTCTGGCTGACTATCCCCACTCTGGCTGACTATCTCCACTCTGGCTGACTATCCCCACTCTGGCTGACTATCCCCACTCTGGCTGACTATCTCCACTCTGGCTGACTATCCCCACTCTGGCTGACTATCTCCACTCTGGCTGACTATCCCCACTCTGGCTGACTATCTCCACTCTGGCTGACTATCCCCACTCTAGCTGACTATCCCCACTCTGGCTGACTATCCCCACTCTAGCTGACTATCCCCACTCTGGCTGACTATCCCCACTCTGGCTGACTATCTCCACTCTGGCTGACTATCCCCACTCTAGCTGACTACACCCACTCTGGCTGACTATCCCCACCCTGGCTGACTATCTCCACTCTGGCTGACTATCTCCACTCTGGCTGACTATCTCCACTCTGGCTGACTATCCCCACTCTGGCTGGATTACAATAGGAATTACACATCACTTTGCAAGCCAGCATAATGTGACTTGCAGGCTTGATGTGGCCTGTAAACCAGGAGTTTCCGACCACTGCATTGGGGGTGTAACTAGGCCCTCAATGAAAGGCCTTATGATGTGTGTAATGTATTGACGTAAAGAGTTACATTTCACACTGGAAAAGAGTGAACATACAATTCATGGATGTTGGTTCAGCTATATGCCCAAATGTTGAGTAAACTCAATCCTATTGCAGCTTACAATTGTATGTTGAATCAATCCTTTTTTTTTTTTTTTACAGTGCAGTCTTGGTTCCCTTTATCTCATTATATCCACCACAGCAGCATTACCTTATATTATAGCCACCACAGCAGCATTACCTTATATTATAGCCACCACAGCAGCATTACCTTATATTATATCCACCACAGCAGCATTACCTTACATTATATCCACCACAGCAGCATTACCTTATATTATATCCACCACAGCAGCATTACCTTATATTATATCCACCACCGCAGCATTACCTTACATTATAGCCACCACCGCAGCATTACCTTACATTATATCCACCACCGCAGCATTACCTTACATTATATCCACCACCGCAGCATTACCTTACATTATATCCACCACCGCAGCATTAGCTTACATTATAGCCACCACCGCAGCATTACCTTATATTATATCCACCACCGCAGCATTACCTTATATTATATCCACCACCGCAGCATTACCTTATATTATATCCACCACAGTGAATGGAGCAAATTTGGAGCGGCAGTTTTATTTCCTTGTGAGCGCGGAGCGGTTGTTAGCGGAGCGGTTGGAAAGGACCTGGAGCACCGGAGCAGTGTGCAAGCACCACTCCATGAGCGAAGATTTAGGCTACCTGCCGCCCAATGCATTAAGACCGCCTTGGTTCGGTGTATTGCTCCTGATGGGACTGATATTGCCACAGCATTACACAGCTACACAAGCATTATTGCATTGTGTCAATCATTTTGTATTCTCGTCATGTTTGCTAATTTGTCTCGTTGTGTTGGTCCTAAAGGACAGCAGCAGCGCTGTGGCTATAGTTTGTTTTCGTACACAGCAAATTCTCCAGTGTTAAATTAACACGGAAAGTGTGGACCCGTTTAGACATTGGAACAGTGTTAAATTAACACACTGCTTGGTATAAAGCCTTATTTCCCAGAATGCCTTGCTTCCCGAGTGAATTGTAGAGTTACCACCCATGACTGAATTTGTTAGTGACAGAGACATGCTTGTTGCATTCATCCATTTTCTGCCTTATGGACTTGAGTGAATATGTTATCATTAAAATGTTATTATTTAACACAATACAATACGTATTTCCTAAGGCCTTATTTTGAGGTCCTTCTTAACTCTTTTAGTGTTGACTTAACTCTCATTGGTGTAAAATAACCCCAGTGTTGGTCTTAATAACCAGAGTTTAACCAAAACCACGCCCATCATTATCATATTTCCCAGCATGCTCTATTGCGGGTTGATCATAACAGTTGTTTGTTTCAATATGTATGTTTTTGTATGTACATTGATTGATTAATTAATCTTATGCTTCTCAAATATAAATAACATACATTTTCTAAACTAATCCAATATGTTAGTTGGACTTATTGAAATAATTACTTTAATGGTTGCTCAGGTTAAGATGCTTTAGGTAGTCTCATATTTCAGTCTTCCCAACACTGGCAGTCATTCTGAATGCAGGTTGCGGGTGATCAAACATTCTGAAGGTTGGATATATCCCCACTCTGGCTGGATTTCAATAGGAATTACACATCACTTACACATCACACATAATGTGTCAGGTTGCGTGAATAACCCAACGTGTTAGGTTGTTTCGGATTACCCAAACATCGCTTAATTTAACCATCGACTGGGTTTTTATTATTTAATGCATGGTTGACCAAGCAGCTGCGTCTTTTTAAATGTAATCCATAGGTTATTTTGAGGAGGTGTGGCTTATTAGGGGTTTGGCCACCAGCTATTTTTGGCCACCTGTGAGAGTAAATGTCAATAATTTTGATCATGTTAAGTTTGTACACTGCATTGTTAAATTTTCTTTGAATATTACTGCACATTTAATATTCTAATACAAAAATAATAACATAACTATTGACATATTGCAACAAAGTGGTTACTATCCCATTGGTGATATCAAATTGGATTTTGCATATGCTTTTAAGGAACTCAGACACTTCTGTAAGCTTCATTAAAGCTATAAAAGTGTCAGCGTTCAACCATAACATGTGAAAACAATTCAAGAGAACAGATTAATTGGAATGACATTTACTCACACGGGTGGCCAAGCCAAGCCTCCAGTCTTCTAATCTGACCCGCTGGGTCATATCTCAATAACCCAGCATCAACAAACCAACCGTATCTTTTTTTATAATGAGAGAGTAAAGGTAATGTCAACTAGGCCTGCGGTGGTCATTACATTTTGTCAGACGGTTATTGTCATGCAAAAGACTGGCAGTCTCGCGGTAAATGCCCGTTAATTAACATAAACATGTTTAGCAGCATTTCCAGGCCTCCACGCATACCAGCAGCTGATGCGCCTTTGGAAAATCTACATTTAAAAAAGCGTAATAAATCAATACATCCATTATTTATTTTAGTCAGGTCTAAAGGAATGATATTGATATTAAGAAAATGTATTTCAGAAGAACAGAATATGACTTGGCCTGCTGTAGGCCTATGTTATCTGGCAATACTCCATGCCACAGGCTGTAGGCTTGTTCATTTAGCTGACAAGATATGTTTATAAGTCCGATGCCATTATTTTTATTTTATATGATTTTATAAATAAATAATAATAAATAATAAATACATTTTATAGTAAGAAGAATATAATTTAACTGAATAAAATAAATACATATATTTTTAGGTCCTATAGCCTTGATGACAGCTTTGTACACTCTTGGCATGGAAGACCCAGAGTTACCTCTGCTGCAGAGGATAGGTTCATTACAGTTAACCAGCCTCAGAAATTGCAGCCCAAATAAATGCTTCACAGAGTTCAAGTAACAGACACATCTCAACATCAACTGTTCAGAGGAGACTGTGTGAATCAGGCATTCATGGTCGAATTGCTGCAAATAAACCACTCCTAAAGGACACCAATAAGAAGAAGAGACTTGCTTGGGCCAAGAAACACGAACAATGGACATTAGACAGGTGGAAATTTGTCCTTTGGTCTAGAGTCCAAATTGAAGATTTTTGGTTCCAACTGCCGTGTCTTTGTGAGACGCGGTGTGGGTGAACGGATGATCTCTGCATGTGTAGTTCCCACCGTAAAGCATGGAGGAGGAGGTGTTATGGTGTGGGGGTGCTTTGCTGGTGACACTGTATGTGATTTATTTAGAATTCAAGGCACACTTAAGCAGCATGGCTACCACAGCATTCAGCAGCGATACGCCATCCCATCTGGTTTGGCCTTAGTGGGACTATAATTTTGTTTTTCAACAGGACAATGACCCAACACACCTCCAGGATGTGTAAGGGCTATTTTACCAAGAAGGAGAGTGACGGAGTGCTGCATCAGATGACCTGGCCTCCACAATACCCCGGTAGTATATGGGCTGCGTGGTGCTACTGATGATTTCAGAAAGTTTGCAAAAAAAGCTTGGGTTCTGTTCCTTTCCTCAGGAATGGCCCATTATCAAACGGGCAGAACCACCCGAATAGCGAATTGAGGCTGCTTCATTTCCTGCCGGTCCGTTTTGTAGGCTACTTTGGTTTTATAGCGGAGCATGTGCTTTGAGAAATAAATATAGCAACACTTATTCAAATAAAATAAAATTACATTTTAATGGTCGCATACACATACAGTTGAAGTCGGAAGTGTACATACACTTAGGTTGGAGTCATTAAAACTCGTTTTTCAACCACTCCACAAATTTCTTGTTAACAAACTATAGTTTTGGCAAGTCGGTTAGGACATCTACTTTGTGCATGGCACAAGTAATTATTCCAACAATTGTTTACGGACAGATTATTTCACTTATAATTCACTGTATCACAATTCCAGTAGGTCAGAAGTTTACATACACTAAGTTGAGACAGAAAATGATGTCATGGCTTTAGAAGCATCTGATAGACTAATTGACATCATTTGAGTCAATTGGAGATGTACCTGTGGATGTATTTCAAGGCCTACCTTCAAACTCAGTGCCTCTTTGCTTGACATCATTGGAAAATCAAATGAAATCAGTCAAGACCTCAGCAAAAAAATGGTAGACCTCCACAATTCTGGTTCATCCTTGGGAGCAATTTCCAAATGCCTAAAGGTACCCTGTTCATCTCTACAAACAATAGTATGCAAGTATAAACACCATGGGACCACGCAGCCGTCATACCGCTCAGGAAGGAGACGCGTTCTGTCTCCTAGAGATGAACGTACTTTGGTGCAAATCAATCCCAGAACAACAGCAAAGGATCTTGTGAAGATGCTTGAGGAAACAGGTACAAAAGTATCTATATCCACAGTAAAACGAGTCCTATATCGACATAACCTGAAAGGCCGCTCAGCAAGGAAGAAGCCACTGCTCCAAAACCACCATAAAAAAGACAGACTATGGTTTGCAACTGCACATGGGGACAAAGATCATACTTTTTGGAGAAATGTCCTCTGGTCTGATGAAAAAAAATAGAACTGTTTGGCCATAATGACCATCATTTTGTTTGGAGGAAAAAGGGGGTTGCTTGCAAGCCGAAGAACACCATCCCAACCGTGAAGCACGGGGGTGGCAGCATCATGCTGTGGGGGTGTTTTGCTGCAGGAGGGACTGGTGCACTTCACAAAATAGATGGCATCATGAGGAAGGAAAATTATGTGGATATATTGAAGCAACATCTCAAGACATCAGTCAGGAAGTTAAAGCTTGGTCGCAAATGGGCTTCCAAATGGACAATGACCCCAAGCATACTTCCAAAGTTGTGCCAAAATGGCTTAAGAACAACAAAGTCAAGGTATTGGAGTGGCCATCAGAAAGCCCTGATCTCAACCCTATAGAAAATGTGTGGACAGAACTGAAAAAGCGTGTGCGAGCAAGGAGGCCTACAAACCTGACTCAGTTAAACCAGCTCTGTCAGGAGGAATGGGCCAAAATTCACCCAACTCATTGTGGGAAGCTTGTGGAAGGCTACCTGAAACGTTTGACCCAAGTTAAACAATTTAAAGGCAATGCTACCAAATACTAATTGAGTGTATGTAAACCTCTGACCCACTGGGAATGTGATGAAATAAATAAAAGCTGAAATAAATCATTCTCTCTACTATTATTCTGACATTTCACATTCTTAAAATAAAGTGGTGATCCTAACTGACATAAGACAGGGCATTTTTACTAGGATTAAATGTCAGGAATTGTGAAAAACTGAGTTTAAATGTATTTGGCTAAGGTGTATGTAAACTTCCGACTTCAACTGTATTTAGCAGATGTTATTGCAGGGGTAGCGAAATGCTTGTCTTCCTAACTCCAGCAGTGCAGTAGTATCTGACAATTAACAACAATACACACAGATCTAAAATAATGGAATTAAGAAATATATAAATATTAATAGTCCGGAGTATAGAAATATATACAGTGAGAGAAAAAAGTATTTGTTCCCCTGCTGATTTTGTACGTTTGCCCACTGACAAAGACATGATCAGTCTATAATTTTAATGGTAGGTTTATTTGAACAGTGAGAGACAGAATAACAACAAAAAAATCCAGAAAAACGCATTTCAAAAATGTTATGAATTGATTTGCATTTTAATGAGGGAAATAAGTATTTGACCCCTCTGCAAAACATGACTTAGTACTTGGTGGTAAAACCCTTGTTGGCAATCACAGAGGTCAGACGTTTCTTGTAGTTGGCCACCAGGTTTGCACACATCTCAGGAGGGATTTTGTCCCACTCCTCTTTGCAGATCTTCTCCAAGTCATTAAGGTTTCGAGGCTGATGTTTGGCAACTCGAACCTTCAGCTCCCTCCACAGATTTTCTATGGGTTTAAGGTCTGGAGACTGGCTAGGCCACTCCAGGACCTTAATGTGCTTCTTCTTGAGCCACTCCTTTGTTGCCTTGGCCGTGTGTTTTGGGTCATTGTCATACTGGAATACCAATCCACGACCCATTTTCAATGCCCTGGCTGAGGGAAGGAGGTTCTCACCCAAGATTTGACAGTACATGGCCCCGGTCATCGTCCCTTTGATGCGGTGAAGTTGTCCTGTCCCCTTAGCAGAGAAACACCCCAAAAGCATAATGTTTCCACCTTGTTTGACGGTGGGGATGGTTTTCTTGGGGTCATAGGCAGCAGTCCTCCTCCTCCAAACACGGCGAGTTGAGTTGATGCCAAAGAGCTCGATTTTGGTCTCATTTGACCACAACACTTTCACCCAGTTCTCCTCTGAATCATTCAGATGTTCATTGGCAAACTTAACACAGGCCTGTATATGTGCTTTCTTGAGCAGGGGGACCTTGCAGGCGCTGCAGGATTTCAGTTCTTCACGGCGTAGTGTGTTACCAATTGTTTTCTTGGTGACTATGGTCCTGCCGTGAGATCATTGACAAGATCCTCCTGTGTAGTTCTGGGCTGATCCCTCACCTTCCTCATGATCATTGATGCCCCACGAGGTGAGATCTTGCATGGAGCCCCAGACCGAGGGTGATTGACCGTCATCTTGAACTTCTTCCATTTTCTAATAATTGTGCCAACAGTTGTTGCCTTCTCACCAAGCTGCTTGCCTATTGTCCTGTAGCCCATCCCAGCCTTGTGCAGGTCTACAATTTTATCCCTGATGTCCTTACACAGCTCTCTGGTCTTGGCCATTGTGGAGAGGTTGGAGTCTGTTTGATTGAGTGTGTGGACAGGTGTCTTTTATACAGGTAGCGAGTTCAAACAGGTGCAGTTAATACAGGTAATGAGTGGAGAACAGGAGGGCTTCTTAAAGAAAAACTAACAGGTCTGTGAGAGCCGGAATTCTTACTGGTTGGTAGGTGATCAAATACTTATGTCATGCAATAAAATGCAAATTAATTACTTAAAAATCATACAATGTGATTTTCTGGATTTTTGTTTTAGATTCCGTCTCTCACAGTTGAAGTGTACCTATGATAAAAAATTACAGACCTCTACATGCTTTGTAAGTAGGAAAACCTGCAAAATCGGCAGTGTATCAAATACTTGTTCTCCCCACTGTAAATTAGCAAAACGCATAAAGGCATCCCTGTCCTTGGGCTTGCTAGCGTTAAGCTGTCATCACTTGAAGTTGAATAATTTACGGTTCATCTTCAGTAAAAGCTGGTTTTCAACGTTTCTGGAATCCCGTCTTGCTCTCCTGCGGCTGAAAACAAGTCCTGCTATGCCGAACAGCCTTTCACATGCAGCTGATGCAGGTAAGGGTGTGTTTAGCCTCAGAGACAGCTCACAGACTGCCGGGAAGGACTTGAGCCACTCCATATGATCAGCTGAACAGGCCAGGTATCCGTCAAGCTGTTTGGAGCTTTCTAGTGTCTTCATTGCAGAGAAGAAGTCCTCCTCGTCTGATGAACTGCTGCCATCACCTAGCTGCAGCAAGGGTTCTTCCAGGTGGTCCTTGATGTAGTCCATTCCTGAAATACAAGGGAGATGACAATAGAAATCATGCCGTTATGAGCCTACATAAATCCATCCCCCCATCTATATAAACCAAGCAACAGGGCTAAGTAGGCTACCCATTAGACTGAACCACAAAGTCAGGACTGTAGTTTAAATGGGTGGTTCTCAAATCTATAAAGTGTACAAATGTACACTATACACAGTTGTTTATGAATAATCAAATACTGTTAATTAACCACGTCGTCTTACCCATTCCGTGTGGCGGCGTCATCCTTTGTCCACGTTGTTGTGAATTTGGGGAGAAGGATTGCAGCTGCGATCAGCTCAGGGTCGTGAAACGTGTGGCTGAAGCGCTTCTTCAGTCCCAGTTGTAGCGCATCCACCAGAGGCTTACAGTACTTCAGGGACAACTTGATTCTGTCAAGTTTTGTGATCAGCAGGTTGATAGTTGGAAGTAGCCACCCCATCTGGACATTGGTTTCAGCCTGCAGGATGTTGATTTGCTTTGTGACTGGGATCGTGGAGGCAGCATACTCTGTGAGGAAGGCAAGTTCAGCTGGATTGAACCTATGTAAAAAATAAAAATAATAATAATAATACTGTTTCCTAACCCTATACGATGGGGACTAATAACTACAGTGATCAGTGGCTGGATGAGTAGTTGACTAAATGGATCAATGATAGTGTATGGCTACAATATGTGAAACAGTTATTAGTCCCCAAGCAAAGGGTCAGGAAACACTGCAACAGGATCTAGACAACATTCAAGACCTTAAATTAAGAAAATATAATACATAATCCTTACTTACATTGGAACCTTGAAGTCTGTGCAGAGAACTCTGACGGCCGCCTCTCCTTTTGTCTTTGACGATCCTCAGGAGTCTTTCTACAGCCATGAACCAGGAGTTCCACCTTATAGCATTCGGGCACAGCAGCTGGAGGTCGCAAGCATCTTCAACCGTTTCGGCTGCGGGTGTGGATCTTCCGCATTTGTTCCAAAGTGCTTGGCACTTGCCAAATGTTGAACGGGACACTTTTTTTGTAAGCCTCACTGGATGTTGCTTTCAGGGCATCGACTGTAGATACTAAGTTGAGTAGGTGGCAAGCACAGCGCTGGTGCTTCGGCAGCTGGTACTCAAAACCATCATCTTCATTCAGGATCGTTGCCACATCAACAAACTCCACTTCTTCACTCTCCTCTTGTTCCTCTTCACCATCTTCCTGTCCTGGCTGAGCTGCTTCACCACCCACTGCTTCCACTGCCACGTTGGCTGAGCTGCTTCACCACCCACTGCTTCCACTGCCTCGTTGGCTGAGCTGCTTCACCACCCACTGCTTCCACTGCCTCGTTGGCTGAGCTGCTTCACCACCCACTGCTTCCACTGCCTCGTTGTTTTCATCTTCTCCAAAAACTTGGAAAGCTTTCAAGAAGTTAGAGCCGTTGTCTGTTGCTGTTCTCACAATCTTACTCCGGATTTCAAAATCAGAATGGATGTCATTTAGGGCGCCTGCCAACACATCAAAGGTGTGCGATCCCCTCAACCGTTTACAGGCCAGGGCTGCAGAGCATCTGTTGAGACTGTCAGGGTCTATCCAGTGGGCTGTGACACCAATGAAACTCTGTCTTCTTGCAGACCAGCAGTCGGTGGTGGTGGCGATGCGGTCAACTCCTCTTATGGCCTCAGTCACCACCTTCTTCATTTCCGTGGAGGCTTCATCAATCCTGGAGCGCAGTGTGGGCCTTGATAAGATCTTTGAGTTAGGCTGCAGATCCTGGACAAACTCTCTGAACGGTTCTTGTTCTACAAAAGCGAATGGTTGGAGCCCCTGGACCACATACTTCACCACAGCTTTGTCGATGGATTTTTGAGACACTGTCTTCAGTAATGTGCTCTGCTTGATGGTGGAGGGAGTCTTAGGGGCATGTTTTCTCTTCAGTGTGTTTGCCGTCAGTTCTCCATACTTCTTAAGATGGTGTACATGCTTTCTCTTCAGTTCTCCATACTTCTTAAAATGGTGTACATGCATTCTCTTCAGTTCTCCATACTTCTTAAGATGGTTTCTCTGAAATAAGAAGAAAAGGAAAGGAGAAAGACTGTTGCTTAGCAACATAACTACCATCACCAAATACTTAAGGTATAGGATCCTCATTTTTAAAGCTATAAACAACATTAGTTAAGTGAGAGTTTGTGACCACCATTTAATATTACAGTGAGAGAAAAACTATGTTAATTGATCTAGCTAGTAGGTTACGTCAATAACTTAAGTCTACAGTAATTAGCTAGGTAAGAAGAACAACTTTATCAACTAACACAAGGAATACAATGGCTAGCTAACACCCGGAAGCTAACATTAGTTAGCTAGCTAGCTTGACCAGGTGTTTAGAGAAAAGTTATTTGGCTAGACCAACGTTAGCTGACTACAATGTGCCCAGATTCGGAAACTACCAGTTAGCTAGTTTGTTAACAAACTAGCTAGTTAGCTAGTGTCAGTTTAGTTAGATTGCGTTAGCTAACAAAGCTTCCGAAGCTGGGCACATTTTAGCCAGCTAAAGTAGGTGGCTACTAGCTAGTGAACTATTTAGGTATACAGTTGAAGTCAGAAGTTTACATACACCTTAGCCAAATACATTTAAACTCAGTTTTTCACAATTCCTGACATTTAATCCTAGTAAAAATGCCCTGTTTTAGGTCAGTTAGCATCACCACTTTATTTTAAGAATGTGAAATGTCAGAATAATAGTAGAGAGAATGATTTATTTCAGCTTGTATTTCTTTCATCACATTCCCAGTGGGTCAGAAGTTTACATACACTCAATTAGTATTTGGTAGCATTGCCTTTAAATTGTTTTACTTGGCTCAAACATTTCGGGTAGCCTTCCACAAGCTTCCCACAATAAGTTGGGTGAATTTTGGACCATTCCTCCTGACAGAGCTGGTGTAACTGAGTCAGGTTTGTAGGCCTCCTTGCTCGCACACACTTTTTCAGTTCTGCCCACAAATTTTCTATAGGGTTGAGGTCAGGGCTTTGGCTGATGGCCACTCCAATACCTTGACTTTGTTGTCTTTAAGCCATTTTGGCACAACTTTGGAAGTATGCTTGGGGTCATTGTCCATTTGGAAGCCCATTTGCGACCAAGCTTTAACTTCCTGACTGATGTCTTGAGATGTTGCTTCAATATATCCACATAATTTTCCTTCCTCATGGTGCCATCTATTTTGTGAAGTGCACCAGTCCCTCCTGCAGCAAAGCACCCCCACAGCATGATGCTGCCACCCCTGTGCTTCACGGTTGGGATGGTGTTCTTCGGCTTGCAAGCAACCCCCTTTTTCCTCCAAACATAACAATGGTCATTATGGCCAAACAGTTCTATTTTTGTTTAATCAGACCAGAGGACATTTCTCCAAAAAGTACGATCTTTGTCCCCATGTGCAGTTGCAAACCATAGTCTGTCTTTTTTATGGCGGTTTTGGAGCAGTGGCTTCTTCCTTGCTGAGCGGCCTTTCAGGTTATGTCGATATAGGACTAGTTTTACTGTAGATACTTTTGTACCTGTTTCCTCCAGCATCTTCACAAGGTCGCTGTTGGACCCGTCTGGATTACTGCAACTCGCTGTTGGCTGGGCTCCCTGCCTGTGCCATTAAACCCCTACAACTCATCCAGAATGCCGCAGCCCGTCTGGTGTTCAACCTTCCCAAGTTCTCTCACGTCACCCCGCTCCTCCGCACACTCCACTGGCTTCCAGTTGAAGCTCGCATCTGCTACAAGACCATGGTGCTTGCCTACGGAGCTGTGAGGGGAACGGCACCTCCGTACCTTCAGGCTCTGATCAGTCCCTACACCCAAACGAGGGCATTGCGTTCATCCACCTCTGGCCTGCTGTCCCCTACCTCTGCGGAAGCACATGTCCCGCTCAGCCCAGTCAAAACTGTTCGCTGCTCTGGCACCCCAATGGTGGAACAAGCTCCCTCACGACGCCAGGACAGCGGAGTCACTCACCACCTTCCGGAGACACTTGAAACCCCACCTCTTTAAGGAATACCTGGGATAGGATAAAGTAATCCTTCTACCCCCCCCTTACCCCACCCCCCCAAAAAAAAATAAAAAAAAATAAGGTGAATGCACCAATTTGTAAGTCGCTCTGGATAAATGTAAATGTAAATGTTGTTCTGGGTTTATTTGCACCGAAGTACATTCTCTAGGAGACAGAACGCGTCTCCTTCCTGAGCGGTATGACGGCTGCGTGGTCCCATGGTGTTTATACTTGCGTACTATTGTTTGTACAGATGAACGTGGTACCTTCAGGCATTTGGAAATTGCTCCCAAGGATGAACCAGACTTGTGGAGGTCTATAATTCTTTTGTAGGTCTTAGCTGATTTATTTTGATTTTCCCATGATGTCAAGCAAAGAGGCACTGAGTTTGAAGGTTGGCCTTGAAATACATCCACAGGTACACCTCCAATTGACTCAAATGATTAAGATTCTAAAGCCATGACATCATTTTCTGGAATTTTCCAAGCTGTTTAAAGGCACAGTCAACTTAGTGTATGTACACTTCTGACCCACTGGAATTGTGATACAATGAATTATAAGTGAAATATAAACAATTGTTGGAAAAATTACTTGTGCCATGCACAAAGTAGATGTCCTAACCATCTTGCCAAAATTACAGTTTGTTAACAAGAAATGTGTGGAGTGGTTGAAAAACGAGTTTTAATGACTCCAACCTAAGTGTATGTAAACTTCCGACTTCAACTGTAGGATTAGCTAGCATCAACTAACACTGCTTGTTGCATTAGCAAATGTGGGCTAGCTAGGTTAGCTAATGTTATTCTAGCTAGCAAGCTAACAGTAGGCTTACCTCAATGCCGATGTTGCTTGCATCTTTTTTCCAACATGATTTGTTTTTTTCTTCCAGCTTCAGATGTATTTTATTTTGTAGCGAGTAACGAAGGTCAGGGGAAATGTATCGGAGTAAAAGTATACTATATATTTCTTTTATGTATTGAAGTAAAAGTCGACAGAAATATAAATAGTGAAGTAGCCCTCCTGTAGCTCAGTTGGTAGAGCATGGCGCTTGCAACGCCAGGGTTGTGGGTTCAATTCCCACGGGCAAAATGTAAAGTACAGATACCCAAAAAAACGACTTAAGTTACTTTACACAACTGGAGACGCCAAACCAACAGGAAACACACTCCGCTCAGACAACAGCAGACAAGAGACGCCAAACCAACAGGAAACATCAAAACTGAGCAAACATACGAATCAGTCAGTCTTCAAATAATTCACTGAAGCACCTGAAAGTCAACACACCACTACAACCCATGCAGTGTCTGAAAGGCCACCGCAGGGTTGTGTTCATTAGGGCACACTTTAGCAAAACAGTTCAAAACGTTGTGTAATGGAAGCCGGAAAAAAAAAAAAACAAGCGTTTCTTATTGAACAAGTTCAGATAGTACTTTCTGATTCTGAGTTTGTAATAGATTCAGAGTGGATAATAGATTGAGTGTTTAATAGTCACATGTACAGGGTTACAGGTGTGATTGCAGGGTACAGTGTTTAATAGTCACATGTACAGGGTTACAGGTGTGATTGCAGGGTACAGTGTTTAATAGTCACATGTACAGGGTTACAGGTGTGATTGCAGGGTACAGTGAAAATCTTAGGCTCCGAGCTCCAACATGCAGGACTAAGTGAAATAAAATAAAGAAATTGGTAATAAAAAAAAAATATATAAATATATATAGCACAATATACATAAAAATAACTATGGCTTCCCCGTTTCACTCTGTTTCACTCCATTTCGGACGTCTTTCTTGCGTTTCGTGCCTAGCGAACACAACCCCTGCCTCACAACACACACAGCAAACAGAGAGGAAGCACGAAGGCCCTCTGTCTCCCCTTCTCCCTCATACTGTGGACAGCAAACAGAGAGGAAGCACGAAGGCCCTCTGTCTCCCCTTCTCCCTCATGCTGTGGACAGCAAACAGAGAGGAAGCACGAAGGCCCTCTGTCTCCCCTTCTCCCTCATGCTGTGGACAGCAAACAGAGAGGAAGCACGAAGGCCCTCTGTCTCCCCTTCTCCCTCATGCTGTGGACAAGTACTGTAGCCTACACACTGCAGGATACCTCTTCTGGACAGCCACCAGTGGTGTGCTGCTATCCATGTGATGTTGCAGACCAGCCAGTAGGGGGCTCACTGAGTCACTCAGGCTCCCCTGATCACTCTTAATCTCTTTACTAAAATCACACCAGGGGACGGAAAACACACATAAGGTATGGAGCACACACCAGGACAGTTTAGATGAAGGAAGTGTAAGTCTGGACTAAAGGCAGCACACAGCATAGCAGTAAAAGACAGCAATATGGGTGGATAAAGTTCCATTACAACTACTGTCAATTCAATGCTGGAGAATAACACTCCATTGACATTAAACTATATGCAGGAATACTTTACAATGTAAACGACTTCATGGTAAAGCTGTGATCTATATTTCCTGCCTCTGAAGAATATGTAAATACTGTAGTGATTTGCATCATGAATACAAATCTCATTTCATAGTAACAGGAACAGTCAACAACCAAACAACAAGTCTAAACCTGTATACCGGTACTGCCAATGAGCTGAGTACAACAGCTTTACCTAATCTTACCTTATCATACCTTACCAACCCTTACCTAACCTTACCAACCCTTACCTTATCTTACCTTACCTTACCCGACCCTTACCTTACCTGACCCTTACCTAACCTTACCAATCCTTACCTTATCTTACCCTACCTTACCTTATCACACCTTACCGTACCTCACCTTACCTAACCTTACCTTATCATACCTTACCAAACTGTACCTTATCATACCTTACCTTGCCTTGCCTACACTTACCTTAATCTTATCTGCCTTGCCTAACCCTTACCATTACCTTACCTTACCTTACATACAGTAACTCTTACCTTACCAAACCCTTACCTTATCTTACCCTACCTTACCTATCCCTTACCTATCACTTACCATATCTTAACTAACCTTACCTAAACCTTCCTTTACCTTACCTTACCTTACCCTACCTAACCTTAGCTAACCCTTACCATCCCCTACCTTACCCCACCTTACACTACAATACCTTACTTACCCCTTACCTTACCTAACATATTCCTTATCTTACCTAACATATTCCTTTCCTTACCTAACATTCCTTTCCTTACCTAACATATTCCTTACCTTACCTAACATATTCCTTACCTTACCTTACCTAACCTTACCTTTACCTGACATCAGCAGTGGCAATGTTGAGATCAATTTAGGTTATCTCTGGTGTGTGTGTGTGTGTGTGTGTGTGTGTGTGTGTGTGTGTGTGTGTGTGTGTGTGTGTGTGTGTGCGTGTGCGTGTGCGTAGAAGCAAACAGGTAAAACCAAAGCCACCTACCCAAGTGAAGTCCCCCAGTCGAGTTCAAGGCTGAGGTCTGTGCTGGGCAGAAAGTCGTGAGGGAACTCTAGATCCTCGTCTTCATCTCTCCTCCTCTTCTCCTCCTCTTCCTCAGTGTTCCTCCCTGGGACGTCCTGTCGGGGGTCGACCCCCTGCTCTATGGTTGTGGCTGGAGGCTTGGTACAGACCACTATGTTGTCTGCTGTGTTGTTTTCTCTGTTCTGGTCGATCCTCTCGGCGTGGACTTCAGCCTGGAGGAAAAACCAACACACAAGTTATATTACTGAAGCTGACATCAACATGCTTAAAAACTGGATTTGCTAAAACCAACAAGGCCCAATGATGAGTCTAGTGAATGGTGCTCCAACTAACATCCATGTCCTTTGTGCTCTGCCTCCATCACAGACAACAACACACCCAGGTATAAAGCAAGCTGAGCACCGCCTGTGTTTGCAGAAAAACACACCCTTTATTAAAACACAATAAAGAATGCTGAGGTTGCATTGACTAATGTGAGGTTGGCCAATCCACTCTGTCAATCATTTTCATTAGCCAATGAGCCATCTTTGATTACATTACATTACCCAATGGGATAAAAGAAAACACCATAGAACTCAATGTCTCCTGTACACAGTGTGTTTTTTATTATTGATATGGCAACATTGTATATTATGACTTCTATCAATATACAACATAATGTACATAAAAATGTGTTATACAATTAAATGTTCACTTGATCCCTCTGACATATTGTATATATTGTATAGATATTGTATATATTGAATAGATATTGTATATATTGTATAAATAGTGTATATATTGTGTAGATATTGTATATATTGAATAGATATTGTATATATTGTATAAATAGTGTATATATTGTATAGATATTGTATATATTATATTAATATTGTATATATTGTATAGATATTGTATATATTATATTAATATTGTATTATGTATGTCTTGTACTCTAGTGTAGAATTGTATATCTTGTATAGATAGTGTATATTTGTTCGCTCATTGTATATTTGTCTACTAGTGTTATATTGTATCAGATATTGTATTTGTATCGTATTGTCTATATTGTCTAGATATTGTATATATTATATTAATATTGTATATATTGTATAAATAGTGTATATATTGTATAGATATTGTATATATTGTATAGATATTGTATATTTGCCATTAGGCCATGTTTCCAATCTCGTTCTCTGATGATGCTAAAACAGCAACACCTATAGGATTATGATAGAAGTGTGCCTGTCACACCCAGTCCATGGCAGCATCCCAAACAGCACTTTATTCCCTACACAGTGCACTACTTTACCTCATTCTCTGAGGCTAAAGCAGCAGCTATCTGGTAGGACATCCTAGGATGCCTCTCTGTAACGACTGACAACCAAGTATGCATGATCAAAACTTTGTCGTCAACATGACATGAACTGAGGAGACCCCCCCCCCCCCCCCCCCGAGGATTCAACGGTAACCACACACCATATATTGACCTCTTTACACTCTCACACCCTGCTAATGTCGTTATGATTTCTTTGTGGAAACATTTTTGAGCTGATGCACATTGTGTGCATGTCACGGTTTCGGCCGAGGCTGCCTCTCTTCCTTGCTCGGGCAGGCTTCGGCGTTCGTCGTCTCCGGAATACTAGCTGCCACCGTTGTATGTTTCTATGTTCGTTTGGTCTGGTCTGGTATTGTACACCTGTTGTCGTTTAGTGTCATTAGTGTCCTATAAGTTCTCGTTGTGTTTGTCAGGTGTTGTGTGTGATTGTTTTCACTGTCGTGCGTTTTGCTAGTTCGTATACTGTTTGCTCGGTTGAGCTGTTCTCCTATGTGTAGGAGTGTTTTGTCGCACATCCTTAGTGCGCCCGTTTTGTTTTCGCCTGCGTGCGGAGTTCTCGCCTCAGGGCATTGCATCGTGCTTGAGTTTGTGCATTCACTAAAGTCTTTTGGACTTATTTTCTGCGTCCTGCGCCTGATTCCACCACCACACCCACCTACAGCAACACTGACAGTACATCCCAAATAGCACCCTATTCCCTACAAAGTGCACTGCCTTTGACCAGGGCCCGTATTGCATTACACATAGAATAGGCTGTCAATTAGGGACTCAGCCATGTCATTATCATGGGATTCTTTGTAAGTCTTTCTGTACACACCACTGAGCTAATGAACAATGAGTTTAAACCACAGAAAATATTCAGCTTTGAGATGAGGATCATTATTACTGAGACCAGCTGATCTGGTTTGACTGCCATGGCAATGAGGAATCCACATACAGTAGCCTATAATGACATGACTGACCTTTATAGTACATTGTGAGGTGTGTGTGTGTGTGTGTGTGTGTGTGTGTGTGTGTGTGTGACAAATCAAAATGTTATTTGTCACATGCGCCGAATACAACAGGTGTAGACCTTACCGTGAAATGCTTACTTACAAGCCCTTAACCAACAATGCAGATTTTTTTTAAAGTAAGAAAATATTTGATAAAAAACATTTCAATTATTTTTAAATAAACTAAAGTTTAAAAAGGTAACACAATAAAAGAACAAAAACAAGGCTATATACAGGGGGTACCGGTACCGAGTCAATGTGCTGGGGGGTACAGGTTATTCCAGGTAATTGAGGTAATATGTACATGTAGGTATGGGTAAAGTGTCTACGCATGGATAATAAACAGCGAGTAGCGGGGGTGTCAATGTAAATAGTCCGGGTAGCCATTTGATTAGCTGTTCAGGAGTCTTATGGCTTGGGGGTAGAAGCTGTTAAGAAGCCTTTTGGACCTAGAATTGGCGCTCAGGTACCGCTTGCCGTGCGGTAGCAGAGAGAACAGTCTATGACTAGGGTGGCTGGAGTCTTTGACAATTTTTAGGGCCTTCCTCTGACACCGCCTGGTATAGAGGTCCTGGATGGCAGGGAGCTTGGCCCCAGTGATGTACTGGGCCGTACGCACTACCCTCTGTAGAACCTCGGATGCCGAGCAGTTGCCATACCAGGCGGTGATACTGTGTATGTGCCATGTGCTGGTGTGTGTGTGTGTGTGTGTGTGTGTGTGTGTGTGTGTGTGTGTGTGTGTGTAGCTACAGTAATAACAGGAATGAACCTTGTTGATGTAGTACAAGGCCCTCATAAGCCTGTATAGTTCAACATAGACATGTCTGTATTCATTCAATTAAATAGTGAAATGAAATAATGAATAATTAAATCATTACCTGAATTAAATATATTAAACGGATCATCTAATTTCACTGCGATCGTTTAGTCAACATGCAATAATAGCTGTACACTGTTAATCACTGACATTAATAATTTGCGTTGCTGGCTTCATTCAAAACTGTTAATATGATGGATTTTTGGATGTCCTTGGTCTCATTATTGGTTGGAGGGCCCAGACATGAGGCCAACTTGACCATATTACCCTGGAGGCATACTTACACCCCCAGTCTCAATACTTTGCGTGAATGATATCTCTCAACTTTAAGCATTGCGAATAATTCGAATACAAAATTATTTGCTTAGCTTCTTTCTGTTCTGTGGTTGCATGAAAATAGCAAACATATAACGTGAATTCAGCGATTACATTTGTTTAATTGTTCTTTGTGGCTCCCTGATTAAACAGTAACATCCATTACCGTAGTAACGTAGGTTACCTGTACTCTAATGGCTTAGCGGTGTGTTGAATAGATTCCAAGATCCGGACATGAGCGAGCGCTCGGTTAGCTCTCGTTCTCGACTTTTTTGCACCCGTCGGCACGCTTAAAAGCAACCGGGAGAAATGGCGAAAAAAGAATGTGCCCTTACATACAACATCTGCAAGGTCCCTCAGTCAAGTATTGAATTTCAAGCAAAGATTCAACTACAAAGACCAGGTAGCTTTTAGAACGCCTCATAAAGAAGGGCAGTGATTGGTAGATGGGTAACAATAACCAATCAGATATCGAATATCTCTTTAAGATTGGTCAAATTAATAATTATGCTGTAGATGATGTACAGCTCATTATGAAACTATTCAGACCCCTTGACATTTTCCACATTTTGTTACATTACAATCTTATTCTAAAATGGATTAAAAATAAATAAATCCTCATCAATTTACACACAACACCCCATAATGACAAAGTGAAAACAGGTTTTTAGACATTGTTGCAAATGTATTACAAATAAAAAACTGAAATACCTTATTTACATAAGTATTCAGACCCTTTGCTATGAGACTCGAAATTGAGCTCAGGTGCATCCTGTTTCCGTTGATCATCCTTGAGATGTTTCTACAACATGATTGGAGTCCACCTGTGGTCAATTCAATTGATTGGATGTGATTTGGAAAGGTACACACCTGTCTATGTAAGATCCCACAGTTGACAGTGCATGTCAGAGCAAAAACAAAGCCATATGTGTTATTTCATAGTTTTGATGTCTTCACTATTATTCTACAATGTAGAAAATAGCAAAAATAAAGACAAACCCTTGAATGAGTAGGTGTGTCCAAATTTTTGACTGGTACTGAATGTATATACAGTGGGGAAAAAAAGTATTTAGTCAGCCACCAATTGTGCAAGTTCTCCCACTTAAAAAGATGAGAGAGGCCTGTAATTTTCATCATATGTATGAGGCTATATATCAACTCCTGCTGTGTTTCTCACATATGTATTGACAGAAAGATGGAGATACAGGAGAGAGAGTGATATGGTCACACAGCCATACCACCCACCCACCCACCCACCCACCCACACACACACACACACACACACACACACACACACACACACACACACACACACACACACACACACACACACACACACACACACACACACACACACACACACACACACACACACACACACACACACACACACACACACACACACACACACACACAAACACACACGCACACACGCACACACGCACACACACCCCAGCACATGGCTAAAGGTCATGCTACAGCAACTTACATACAGAAGAAAATCCATTAGTGCTAGCTATCCTACCCCATGATGGGAATTCAGAGGTGAATCGGAACAAAGCAAGCAGATAATAAGACACGTGGTCATAGGTCAACTTTGTCTGTGCTTATCATCACAACGTGGTCATTGGTCAACTTTTGTCTGTGCTTATCATCACAACGTGGTCATAGGTCAACGTTGTGTCACAGTCCACAGAGTATACAGTCATGTATTCTACAACAGGGGACCTGTTAATTGAAATGCATTCCAGGTGACTACCTCATGAATCTGGTTGAGAGAATACCAATAGTGTGCAAAGCTGTCATCAAGGCAAAGGGTGTCTACTTTGAAGAATCTCAAATATAAAATATATTTTGATTTGTTTAACACTTTTTTGGTTACTACATGATTCCATATGTGTTATTTCATAGTTTTGATGTCTTCACTATTATTCTACAATGTAAAAATAAAGAAAAACCCTGGAATGAGTAAGTGTTAAACAAATCAAAATATATTTTATATTTGAGATTCTTCAAAGTAGCCACCCTTTACCTTGATGACAGCTTTTCACACTATTTGGTAAAATACCAAGTCCGTATTATGGCAAGAACAGCTCAAATAAGCAAAGAGAAACGACAGTCCATCATTACTTTAAGACAAGAACTTTGAAAGTTTCTTCAAGTGCAGTCGCAAAAACCATCAAGCGCTAAGATGAAACTGGCTCTCATGAGCACCGCCACAGGAATGGAAGACCCAGAGTTACCTCTACTGCAGAGGATAAGTTCATTAGAGTTACTAGCCTCAGAAATTGCAGCCCAAATAAATGCTTCACAGAGTTCAAGTAACAGACACATCTCAACATCAACTGTTCAGAGGAGACTGCGTGAATCAGGCCTTCATGGTCGAATTGCTGCAAAGAAACCACTACTAAAGGACACCAATAAGAAGAAGGGACTTGCTTGGGCCAAGAAACACGAGCAATGGACATTAGACCGGTTCCAACCGCCGTGTCTTTGTGAGACGCAGAGTAGGTGAACGGATGATCTCTGCACGTGTGGTTCCCACCGTCAAGCATGGAGGAGGAGGAGGTGTGATGTTGTGGGCGTGCTTTGCTGGTGACATTGTCTGTGATTTATTTAGAATTCAAGGCACAGTTAACCAGCACGGCTACCACAGCATTCTGCAGAGATACGCCATCTCATCTGGTTTGGGCTTAGTGGGACTATCATTTGTTTTTCAACAGGACAATGACCCAACACACCTCCAGGCTGGGTAAGGGCTATTTAACCAAGAAGGAGAGTGATGGAGTGCTGCATCCAAAAAGTTATACTTTTGAATCATCTGTCCATAGAACGTTCTTCCAAGAGTCTTGATGATCATCCAGGTGCTTTTTGGCAAACTTGAGTCAACT